ATGACAAACCTTGACAGCATCTTAAAAAGCAGAGATATCACCTTGCCAACAAAAGTCTGAATAGTCAAAGCTATAGTTTTTCCTGTAGTGATGTATGGAACTGAGAGCTGGACCATAAAGAAAGCAGAGCGCCGAAGAGTTGATGCCTTTGAATTGTGATGCTGGAGGAGGCTCTTGAGGGTCCACTGGACTGCAAGGAGAACAAAGCTATCAATTCTAAAGGAAATCAACCCTGAGTGCTCACTGGAAGGACAGATCCTGAAGCTGAGGCTCCAGTACTTTGGCCATCTCATGAGAAGAGAAGACTCCTTGGAAAAGACCTTGATGTTGGGAAAGTGTGACGGCAAGAGCAGAAGGGGACAACAGAGGATGAGATGGCTGGACAGTGTTTGTGAAGCAACCAACATGAACTTGACACAACTACGGGAGGCAGTGAAAGATATGAGGGCCTTGAGTGCTCTGGCCCATGGGGTCACGAAGAATCGGACACAATTAAACGACTAAACAATATGATATATTAATACCAAATAGGTTTGAGTGCAATGTAATTCCTGTTCCTAAATGTGAGAACCTCATGTAAATATAAAAACAACAGTGGTATCTGGAACAACATAACCTCTCCTGTTGCTTGAGTTTTCAAAAGGAATTTGCTTCATTAGATGCATATTATGCTGTCTCATGATGCAGTAGACTAAATCAAGTACTATTCTGACATTGTAGATAGTCAAAAACAGCTCTTAGCATACAGTAGGTGGAAGAGTGGATCTTGGGAAATGTGAATAGCAGACAAAATGTTTCACACATATGCATTCAACTTTTCTGACATTGTTACAATATGCACATCTTTATCTTCTTGCCATTTCCTGATGTGCATTTTCAACATAGAAGTAAAGATGTCAGAACATTGGGCTTTTGGTGACCAGGTCTGAGGCTTTTCAAGGATTATGCTTTTGCTATTGATGTTCTTGCCAGGAGAGGGAGACAAAAGGCATTGTGAGAGTGGGTTTATTGGAAAGAAAATTACCAAAATGACACAACAAATCAGTGTTTCTTGTATCAAGGTTTTGATGAAAGACATAGTTACTCCAGTCCCTCAAGAGGAGGTAAAAGCTGTCATCCGTAAATGCTTAGAACAAGCTGCATTGACTAACTATACTCGGCTATCAGAGTATGCCAAAATTGAAGGTAAGACGATTTTATTATTGAAGTTAACCTTGGTGTCTTCTTTCAAGGAGCCAACTAAGAACAAAGAAAGAATATTAGGTTGTGCCATAAATATTCTTTAATACAGCATCTATATAGCATGAACAAATAATATATCTGAAAGGGGGAAATGATGTCATTTTCAAAGATAGGTCACATGCAATAATTGTGTGACTGAGACTTTGAAATGTATAACAGAATAATTTCTTCACAGGAGAACAATCATCATGCTTGGCCAGCACCACAACATTCATACCTACCGTTTTTTCCCCTAGAAAACAAAACTGTGAGATCAACATAGTGTGTCAGTTCTGTAGCCAGAAAGGAAGATGTAGTTAATTGCTTGAAGCAGTAGAGTTCATGAAACCATTCAAATATCAAAAATTAAGAAATGTTTTATAACCGTATTCATTCATTTGTAAGCCAACTTAAAATGTCTATATATATTTTTCTGGGTGGTGTTTTCAGCCTTCTTTTTTAATACGTAACCGATCTTGTCAAATCAGTTGGCCCTGTGCTTGCATCAGATTTCATTCTTGTCAGTCTAAATTCTCCACGGTTGATATTACTGACCTTTTACGTTATGAAGGAATAACAGCTAGTGACCAGAGACACATGTAGCCATCAAAAAGACATTTTAAAATGTGCTTGAAGATATGCTTTTGGCAGGAGTTCTATACATGCAGATACATCTTTATACATTAATCAATTTTCATTGTTACCTTGTTGGCTACTGTACAATCATTTGAAACTCCTACACAACATAATGAATGCCTTACTGTAAGTTTGTATAATTGAATTATGCAGTGTGGATTGTGGTTTTGTGCCATGACATGTATGAGCCATGAAGCTCTACAAAGCCTGTGTTCTCATTCTCTTTGAATAATAGTGTTGGAGAAAACAATAACATCATTCAAAAAATTTTCCCTGGTCCTTAAATTGTTAGAAGGACTGGATTATTATGATATGCTACATATTTCCAGGATCTGCAAATCATATACCTTCTCTCTTTTTCAATGTTTTCCCCCCATTAATAATGCAAATTGTGTACCAGTGGTAATGAATTCATTGTTATGCATCCAGTGAGAAATGCTTAAGAATTGGGCACTAAAAGGATGTTTATCAACTCTTGACTTGGTAATGAGTGATGAAAATAGAGGAGGGCCATAGGTCTCTTGAGCGCTGGGCTATCAAGCTATTTATCAAAGCACTCTACTTCACATAATGGTTTTAATTGGTGAACTCTGTTTAAAAAAATTCGTGGTTTAAATATACTTCATGAGAACATGGGAGAACTTCAGTTCAAAGGCAGCTTTGGGGTTGTTGTTTTCTTTTTGAATGGACACTGGGCTCCCTAGATCTCTGTATAACGCTCACTAACTCTGTCGGTAAGCTTTGCTCTCTTCTTTCAGATATATCTATGCAAAAACAATCTTTATGATCTGTAAGTAAAAATGCATTCATTTCCCAAAACATAGAACAGTTAGCCCGTACTTTCCTTTTGTGCCTCAATTCTTCTTGATTGTGTTAATTATCTGCCCTCTTTTTTGGCACTGTGACTTTTAGGTCTGGGAAACTTTGAAGCAACAAACCTTTTTTTGTTTCCTTTCCTTTTTTTTTTCCTTTTTAATTCCAGCTGTTGTTTTCAGAGAAGTACTTCATCCCACACTACCTGCTCTCTTCTGCTTCTCTCCTTCCTTGTCCGTGGTTGGTTCAGCCACTTTTCTATGCTGCCTCTATAAAAGTGGTTGTGTCAGTTTCAAAGCATGCTGGGATTGTTAATTCAAACAACCCAACATCCGCAAGTTGCATGTCTCAGGTTTTCTCTCATGAGCATAGTCTGCTCACTATGAGTTCTTTTACGTTGTTGCTGTTTATTTATTTTTTAAAAAAATACTGTGTGACGCATTTCTCCAGAAGCGTCAGCAATTTGGAAATTAAATACTTCCTTCAGTCTAAAAGGCCTGAGTGCATTAAAATTAGAAACAATTAGCAGCACTGCTGCTTGAGGCTATGTTTATGAAGAAATACCTGTGAAAGCCTTAGATACTGAAGGCTAAACTCCTTAGTATCTCGGAGCCTTAAATCAATAGAATTCTATTTCCTTCTATTCATGACGTTCTGACCATTATATTCCTGCAAACAATTTAGAACAAACCTTTAGATTCATGGTCACAATCTCTTTTGTGACTCATGAGCATGCTGAATGGTTAATCCAGTAAATATCCAATTTTAAATCTTTTTTTATTTTTATCCTGTGCTTATCCCAAAATACTCTACAGCTACTCTCCTTTTAAACCAATGTAAAGTTTTCCTCTGACCTATGACCTATGACCTCTTTACCTCTGACCTAAGCCTCTTGCATGCCCAAATCCTCTTTTATAGGGAAAAAGAGAGAAATGTATGAGCATCCTGTCTTCTGCTTGGCCTCTCAAGTGATGGATTTAACCATTCGTGAGTACCTTCCACCCTCCTCTCCATGCTGTCTTCACTCTTTTCTGTTTCCATTACTTCAGTGCAATTCAGATCCAAATCAACTCACTCTCCTTGCTTCAAGTCTTTTAGCATTGGCTTGTCTGTTGCTTCTGTCTGTGAAAGTCCCAGTGTGAGAAGTCCAGTCACTTTTTTTAACAGCCTTAAAAACAGGTTAGAAAAATCAAGCTGTTTTTGTTTGTGATGAATTCCAATTTGTCTATAAGTTTTTTTTTCAGTTCTTCTTTCTGTCTGTGACCTGAATGCATTTTTACTTTGCTTCTGTGTAACCCCAATTTGTAAACACTTGTCACTGGTACACAATCAAAAGGTAGCGTCTACACGGGGGAGCAATGAGTTTGAGGTCAGATAAAAAGACATTGGGAAAGAGCTGTCCCTATCTTAATGTTGTCCATTTCTAAACAATCTGCATGTAAGACTACAGGAAAATGTCCTTCCTGTACTTGATCTTTCATGTCTCTTGTCTGATCTTTTTCAAGCAGAATGCTTTCTAGATCCTTTAATCTTATTATTCCTTCATGGTGAGCTCTGAGTAGGGTATCTTCTGTATATTCACTTACCACTCTAAAAGTCACTGTGTGTTCTCAAACTTTAAACCACCTAAGCACCAATTTTCTTTGTACAACATTAAATCTTTATCTTGGCAAAGCAAGTTGTTTTTGATGATACCCATGCTTCTGGGTGGTGGGAGATACTGGGCAACTTTTTTTCTTTCTGAATGTCATATATCACACATAACTGGGAGGCATTTGGATCCACTTGCTCATTAATCCTGCATATCTGTTCTTGTTTCTCTCTCTCTTTTTTCTCTTTGTTGCTTTCTTTCTCTTTCATATAGAGAATCAAAAGGATGCAGGTGAACAACTGTATATGCATTTTAAATTGCTAGGATTGTTGAGTTTTTATTGATTATTGTTTTCCTTTTTGTAGCTCCTTAAGATATGTACTCCTTATAGAGAGAAGCTGGAGTTGCAGTAATACTTAAGGAGTTAATTTGTGCTGTCTTAAGTGATGTAAATAGCTTTCTCCCTCTCCCTTAGTAGAACATAGACACAGTGCCATGCAATTAGGAGAGGAAAATACGCAAATCAAGTCATAATTTCCTTACCACAAGATCAAAACAACCCTCAAAATACATTGGAGCCCAGTAATATTAAAAATCTGGCTTTTTATTCAAGACACTTTAAAATCTAAACTAATCCTCATTTTTGTTTTCATACCTTGTGTTCTATATCCTATTTGGATAGAGTGGTTTTCTTGTTAATGTGTAACTAACAATATAGTCAGAGAAAAGTTGTGTCTGTCATAATTTTTCTGTGTCTAATGTGGTGGCGTAAAAATACAACGTTCAGATAAAATTCATGAGAAAAACAATATATTCTAAAGACACACTACCTTTTTCATGACCTCTAATATAAGAAATCTTCATTGGAAATTCTTAAAATCTGAACTGTTCATTTTTTCCCCCTGAGTCTTTTGTTTATGTTTTGTGGAAGCCCGTCGTCTGGATTTTCAATTGTTTTTAGATGAAAACTATTTTTGAAACTAAGTAGTCGTAATTTCACGTGAAATGCTGATTCAAACTGAATAGAGATAATCTATGAAACATGTTAGTGTAAAGTGTCCCAGTTCTATTTCATTTTTGGACCCACAAGAATGTGAGTTATATGTCTGACAGAAATGAACATGAGTCTATCCTTTTAACTGAGCCAAGAGTCATTCTCAAAGAACAGCTCATAATAAATAAATAAAGCTGATTGTCCATTCTCACAGTATGAAGCACATCCAGCATTCATGGCTATATGGACTTTGGATATACAGTGGTGCCTCGCTTAACGAGCGCCCTGTTTAACGAAGAATCCGCATAGCGATTTGTTTTTTGCTGTCGCAGAAGGGATCGCATTGCGATCTTTTTAATGGCAAAAAATCGCTTTGCAATGATTGGTAAGCGTTTCGCTTACCGATTTTCGCATTGCGATGTTTTAAAAACAGCTGATCGGCAGTTCCAAAATGGCCGCCGGAAAAAATGGCCGCCTGCAGTGTTTTCGCATCCTTTTCTCGCATACCGGGCAGCGAAAATGGCGGCCGCATGGAGGATTTCCGCATAACGGTGAGTTTTTGCCCATAGGAATGCATTAAATGTGTTTTAATGCATTCCTATGGGCTTTTTTGCCCCGCATAGCGACGAATCCACATAGCGATGATTTTTTTGGAACGGATTCTTAGCATAGTAAATTGCACTGGAGGACCCTCACTGAATAAATGAGATTTGATAAATCAACTTCTCCATAGGTACCATTGATTCAAACCGGGTTACCCTAACTATGACGTAATGTGTTAAAGTTTTGGAAGAAGTAACCATGTTGGTCTGTGCAAGCATATCAGGCAAAATCCAAAGAAACAAAACAAAACAGAAGTATGAAACTGATATTTAAAATGTCATTTTGTTTTCATATGTCTGATGAATTAGACATATCCACAAAAGCTGACATAAAAATATAATAGTCTTTAAGGTGCCACACGTTTTTGTCTTGTTTTTTGTTTGGTTGGTTGGTTGGCTGGTTTCTTTGGATTTTGCTTAATATATTAAAGTAAGTCACACTTAGAATAGGTCAGTTCAAATTAATGGGACACATGCAGAAGTTGACATATCAAATCCCCATTGATTCAGTGGACCTACTTCATGCAATTTGCTATAAAAAGCAACAGGATTTTGGCCAATCTATTACAGCAAGGGATAACTTGCTGTAATAGATTGGATATTCTGCATTAATGCAGCTCTAAACATTGCGTATGCCTAATATTGGTGCTGGGATGCTGTCCATCTCATCTGTATCAACTGGATGCATTCATCATGTGCATCCATATCTTCACAGCTACAAATGGTGGCTGGATATAGATAGAGAAGTTCCAGCAAAATAAGGACTCATGAGGAAATGCTATCAAAGCCACATGCATCTTGTGATATATATTAAAAATTATGGAGTTATAGTATTTATTTATTCTATTTATACCCCGCCTATCTGGTCAATATGACCACTCTAGGCGGCTAGAGTCAGTCTTAACATGTCTGTTGAATATGAGTTAAACCCAACAATTTACTAATGTATATTGGGGAAGACAATAGCTTATTTCAACACCACTGTAGCCATCCACACAACTCTGTTATGTAGCAGAATGGGGAGCGTACATGAGGCTAGCACAGGAGAGTGAATAAGTCACCTCCCAGTTCTGCTGACACCATTAGATGCAGGTCTGTGACTTTTTGTGTTCATAGGGGTCAGCATTCCATCTGTGCTGCCCTTGTTTCAAACTCACCTGGGCTTAGATTTACTTTCTGGTCTAGAAAGTGTCTTTGACAAATCAGACTTCAAGGAAGCAAATGAACTGAACTGCTCCACAGGGATACTTATCTCTAGCTACCAGATAGCTCACATATCTCAGGAAGTGGTGTGCACTCCAACGCTGGAGGCATTCAAGAGAAAATTAGACAATCATCCGTCAGATCTGCTTTGACTTGGATTCTTCCATTGAGCAGGGGTTTGGACTCGATGGCCTGATAGGTCCCTTCCAACTCCATGATTCTATGATTATACCTCCCCTGTCAGCCACAATTTTATAAATTCTTGAACCATTATTTTCCCGGCCAAGGAATCAATAACTATTATGCTTACGTAAGGCATTTTGAAAGTGAAATATGGGGATTGTAAGGCTACATAAACTGCTAGAAAACATTTAAAAACAGGCTTATCCAATAGTAGTAACTGTGTAACAGATTCTGCAAACCACAGCCTGGAAAGTTTCTTTTTAAAAACAATTACGGTACTTACAATTGCTTATTACAACTACTTTTAGTCTTGCCCCCACAACCTAGTTGTCAATTGTAACATTCACAGTTTTTAGAAAGTATTTCTTTATTTCCTCAATAATATAAAATAAACATTTATTTTTATCAATTTATTTAAAAAGCTAGGCAGAATAATTTGCTAGCATTTTGCATGTAATGAACTATCCTCACATGCACCTCATTGTTACTGCAATCCTCACAACAGAGCATGAGGCAGAGCATCACCCCTCATTTGAACCGCATATTGTTGCTCCTCCATTGAATGAGGCCACAGCCCCATACGGAGAAAGGTGGGGTAAAAATATTTCGAATAAATAAGTTAAATAAACTAACTCATTACAAAGACTTATTGCAAACCTCTGGATAGAGCTCAACTTTAACACCATTGGTGTGCTTTCTGCGGTTTGAGAAATCTATCAGAAATAGCTATAATTTATTGTCTTGGGGAAACAATCTGGAGCAAACAGCATTTTCTTGCTTTTCCATCACCCTCTGACACATAGAACAGAGGTGAGCAAGCTCATGAGGTTTTGGGGCCAAATTTGTGCTCCCCTGGCCCTCTCTAGAGGCTAGGAGCCCATTTTTGGATTTTGGCTATAGGGGGTAAACAAGAAGAGCCTCAACAATTGCTTGTTCTTTCAGGTAATAACTAGAGGTTTGTTTTTATTTTTTAAAATCAGAGTCCTGTGAGTACATCTTTCATATGAGTGCAACAGAGGTTTTCTGAGGAAGAAATATAATATAATATGATATAATATGATATAATATGCTAGGAGCCCATTTTTGGATTTTGGCTATAGGGGGTAAACAAGAAGAGCCTCAACAATTGCTTGTTCTTTCAGGTAATAACTAGAGGTTTGTTTTTATTTTTTAAAATCAGAGTCCTGTGAGTACATCTTTCATATGAGTGCAACAGAGGTTTTCTGAGGAAGAAATATAATATAATATGATATAATATGATATAATATAATACAGTATAATATAATATAATACAGTATAATATAATATAATAATTATCGAATTGCTATAGATCATTAATAATTATAAATATGTATATCATATTGGCTAAAATCCAGTAGTGGAACTCATGGCTCATAAAGCTGATGACATTACTAGACTCTGTGGGTTTTTTTTTTTTTTTTTGTAAATTAAACATTTCTTTTCCTCCCTTGAAGGTCCTGGGGTTCCCTTTTGTCATGGGGAAGTTATAATGTCCAAAAATCACTAAAGCTGAAACATAAGTTCTGTTACTGGATTTCAGCTAATATGATAGTTACATATAATCATAATTTTGAAATATATATATATTACATAATTTATACAATTATGATTTATACATATATTATACAATTATGATTTATACTCCTTTTTTCCTCACTCAGCTCACACAATTCTAACAAAAATATCTGTTATTATTTCAAGGAAGAACAAGCAACTGAGATTGTAAAGAGACAGGAAGTGTTGCAACACGTTAGACTGTACAGAACCATCATCAGAAAATTGACACAAGGATGAAAAGAGGGAAAAAATAATAATCAAGAGAATGTGAAGGAAATTTCAGATTTCCTGTGTTTGTATGCCTTAGATAGGACAGATATACTCAGTATGGTACTGACTTATAAGCATTTATTTCAGTCAAATATATTGACTGGTTATGTTCTTCTGTGAAGCTGGAAAAGGATGATGAAAATGAGTACTGAGGTGCTGGAAAAAGGATTTATATTTCAGCACCTCCATGCCACACAGGGCTGCTAACAGAGAGAATACTATCATGTCTATAAATCCATGCTTCCTCATGGGGACAGCTTCTCAACTACTAAGAGTTCTAGGATCATGGCGGTATAATGAATAATGAAGATCACAGCAGCCACTTAAACAATTCCTGCTGGGAGATGCCAGTTCACAGAGATCTCTGCATGTGTTCTACCTATCCAAATATCAGTCCGAAAGTCTTTTGCTATCTTGCAGTATTCAAATGGAGGCCAGAAAAAATCTGTAAATGAGCCATA